CGACGACGTTTTGTTCATTGCTCTATTCATTGACTCAGCTGCAGCGGCGGTTTTGGCCGAAGACGTGGCCGATTTTTGTACACCTTCTGCATCACGCCCACGTTTACAGTACCGACGCGTCGTGGTACGAGAAAACGATGGCGGACAAACTTCGATTCAAACCCAAACAGCAATATCGGCGACAGGTGTCACGAAGCGTCACCGCAGAGAACAACTGCACAGTTTGCGAAAAGTCACTGCGCGGCAACGCGAACGACAGCATGTGAACGGCCTAAGCGAGTCAAGTCCTCTATAGCATGGACCGACAACAAATGGGTGCACTGTACCTCGCTTTTCTAAAATCTCTATAATCGTTATTTTTTCAAACAAACAATCAATCATTAAATGCCTTCCTCTCAGTAACTTATGATTGATAACGACATCAAAGCCAAGAAATCTCAAAGGGATTGTTTGGGCAAAAGCACAAAATCGATTTTCTGAAGCAATGAAAGACAGTTTTTGGTGAACCCTTCATGTGCGATCAACAACCCTTCAGATGAAGAATTAGCAACTTCACGCAACAACCGTTGCTATCAAGATTACATGATAGTTTCTAACATAAAAAGCAGACGTTCTTCATCCCCCCTGAACATCACGAAATGAGGCTATGTACGATTAGTCATGTCAGCTTTTCGAGCGGTATGACATCAGTGACTCGCACCCACATTCGCAAACTTTTTTCTGAAAAATATGCACACAACTTCCAAATGTCAAAATATGTTCGTACGCTTGAGTGAGTATGTTAGATGAAGCAGACTCTTCCATGACCAGATTTCACGGTGTATTGCATCGCTTCCTTGCTCCTAGTTGCCTGGGGAGGCATTTAATCAGGCCAGAGCTACACCGTATTTGAGCACCTGCATTGACTGATTCATCTCGCGAGATGCATCTGGCACTGCAGGTGATCAAACAGTTTGACTCTGTGACCTGCTTAAATGGTCTCTTAGGCAACTACGATGAGTGATGCAATGTGCCATTGGATCTT